TTTTGCAAAATCCCCAATTTAACAGTTGTCGGAAATTCGAGTTACGAGCAACATGGATTTCTTATATGTTGCTAACAAATTCGAAGTAACTGTTATTAAAACTTCTGATTTGAGATATTCTTCGAAGCTACAAAAATGCAGAACTCCATTCAACACTAAATGAGTTGCCCTAGTCGGTTGTCACAAATCACGCCGAGATTGCGTACATTAACTTGAGAGTAATTGAATTGTTGTCCACAGAGCTGCTATTGAATTGATCTATATGACTTTGCTACTGATTATCAAAATATCTGTTTTATCTGGATTTAGTTGAAGCTCAGTTTTTTCAAATTATAAATGCACTTTCGGAAATTTTGAAATAAATGATACATTTGAAACTAGGAGATAGTTAATAATAGTTCAGTTCAAGCCCAGAATATTTTAACAGATGTAAACACCATCTCATAGGGAATGATAATGTTTGCTTTTGATGTAGCCGACAACTTATTATATATATTGCTTCAATATCATTGTCGGAGAAAATTACATGACTTTGTAAGTGACTGCTTATGGAGTTTTTTGACGTCATCCGTTGACAATAAATCAAAATCAGCCAAAACTATATCTACGCATCGCATCAACTCGATATAGACTAAAACATCGCCGAATTACATCGAATAACGTTAATTTTATTTATATAAAAAATAAATCACTAACGATTTGGAATAGAGTATTTTCTTTATTGGACTATTGTGCTGTATATTGTCAATTATTTGAAACATCGCCTGCATTTTTTTTATCAACCAAACCCGCAAAATAAAAAATTTTCTGATACGAGATCAAACAATTCTCAAAACGGTTGTAAAATGTACTAGTCTGTATAAACCATGGCCGACGTACGCGAACTAGAACGGACTTGGTAATATCAGGCGCAAACTTATTAATAAAACTACAAATTTACATTATAAATTGGAAATTATCCAAACCCGGCACAATATAAAATCAAATGCTTTGACACATCCTGTCTCAAACTGGTCATGTTGATTTTGTTCAACTTGTAACTGATATTAGTTTTTACTAACCGAGGTTTAAATAGATTCAAATGAAATATAATGGCTGCCTAATCGAAAATGAATGACCCAACTGTCGGCGTATCTGATTAGCGCACATTTTGTCAAATTATTTGTAACGCCACAGTCTCTCTATAAAGGGACTGTGGTAATGCCTAACCAACTTGAATAATACAGTACAATACAAGATGCGTTCCTAAGTGTATATTATATACATAACACCTCCTTCTGATTGTGTTCACCATAAAAATATTAGAATCTGATAATGGAATGCTTAATTCCAGCATAATTTTCATTGTTTTCATTTCACATTAATTGTAAAAAATCCAAAGCTTTTGTGATGGCAGTGACCAGTGAGAGGATTTTTCATAGATCATAAAACAGGAAATGCAACTTAAAAGCGTGATATTAGCCCCACCTTAACTGGGGGGGGGGGGGCAATTTTAAAAATTTTTTGGTAGACCGGATGAGTCACCAACTTTAAAAAAAACAAAAACATGGGGTATTACTCAAAAAGTCGGCATGTTTTATAAAATTACGGTAAAAATGAATTTCATCCCAGGCTGAATAACTGATTGAACTCTTATTGAAACTTTTATGAACATTTATAGCAATTTTAGCAATGGTTCTAGAGTAAAATGTCAACGTGTAACTTTCTGTTATCACATTTACAAGATAACCTGCGGTTGCCTTCAGGAGATTTCTGGTCATCATTTATTTCGAAAGTCACATAAACAAAATCAATCAATCTGTATCGTACGATATTTTAGTACAGTTACACTATTAATATGTCCATTTCAAAATGAATAAAATCATTTTTATTAAAAACAACATTTTGTTTTACTGCTTGTTTAAGACACAATTTTCAGCCAATCGCATCTTCAGCCGTCTGAGGCGATACGTGATTACCGGAAACTGCGCATGTGTTAGTACCTCAAAACGAGGCTCCCGCTGGAAAACAAAAATCCGAACGGAAGACGGTTGTTTGTTGTTCAAAATTCTCGTAAGTACTTGCGTCTCTTATTTTGGCCGTTTTGTTGCGAGGTTTCGGGATTGATGCAGTATTAGGATGTGTAATAACCTTGTCATTGAAACCTCACAAGGAACATAATTTTTGGATTCTATAGTCCCGGTCTACAGTCTTGCAGAATACAACCGAACTCGGCCAGATTTCAACTCGGCCAAGAAAAAAATGCACAACTCGGCCAGTTGTGAATGTCGAG